ATGTATTTTTTAATATAAAAATGTTGGCAGTTTCTATTAGAGCATCTCCAACAATCTCTTCAATAACTTTCGAATTCTAAAATAGGTGAGCGACATCACAAAAACCTCTTCAATCTCAGTTATCAAAGTTGCAACTTATGTTTCTCTTTTCAGGATTGGTAAGTTGACTTTGATTCTTCAAATATTTAATTTTACTTTGGAAAAACAAAACCTATTTTGAAAATGTTAAAAACATGCATTTTTTCTTTTCATATAATAAATACATAGACATTTTCACATGTTTTCATATTTTTCTTTCTTTTCCATGATATTGCATTACTTGATTTGAAGGGGATTGTTGGAGCAAAAATGATTCTAGTAGCAAATAAGGCTTTTCAAATTGCCACATAAATCAACAAATTTCAATTTAAAAAAATTTATTTGCTACTAGTGTTGGAGATGCTCTTAGGCTCTTCTTCATTAAAATAGTTATTTCAAGAAAATAAACTGAGGGTGTCTCGCTCAGGCAAACAGACTTATGAGATGGTCAAGTGAACTCGACGAGGTGAGTCTTTTTTTATAAAATTAGATGTCAGCTAATTACTTGATATTTTACTATAACAGTAGTCTCTCCTTTAACCTCCTTCCTTCAATCTTTTTCTATAGTTAAGTAAGGTTAGTCACTTTTCATTGGCTATAAGTAGTCTCTTCTGCCTATGTATTTTTTGGAATTTAGGAAGCAAACTCTCTTTGCTTCTAGAAGGAACTCTTATTCTAGAATTAAAATCTCTCTCCGTACTCATGCGTGAAGAGAGAGGGAGGGAAGGGAGTCCATAAATCACCGTAATGTCCAGAGGATGATCACTTGTGACTTAAAATTGTCAAGTACAACGCAAAACTATAACTATAAACTTCACTCTTGCACGTTCATATCGAATCGAAGGCATGATTGCGTGCATGGATATCCCACTTGTTTCGAAGTTTTGAATGAAGAAGGAAACTGAATACTTGTTTTCGCGAGGATGGAAGTAGCAAACACTGTTGTGGTATATGGAGGCTTTACATGGTCATCTATGCTACTAGCTGTTATTAATTGATTGGATATTACACGTCAATGTAGAAAAAATAATTAAATATGTGTATCCCTAAGCTCCAGTACTTTATGACATGGTGTTTTTAGATTAGCGATGACATGTCAATGCTCTGCAAAATAGGTGTCTGTGTACAAAAAAAATAACATAGAAGTTATAGACTAGAAAAAAGTATTTTAGAAAAAGATATTTTCTAATGCTTTTTTTTCATATGTCAGTTTGGATTGGATATGACATGGCACTTTAGAAAAAATATTTTCTATGTATTTTTTTATATAAAAATGTTGGTGGTTTCTAGAGCATCTCCAATAATCTCTTCAATAACTTTCGAATTCTAAAATAGGTGAGCGACATCACAAAAACCTCTTCAACCTCAGTTATTAAAGTTGCAACTTATGTTTCTCTTTTCAGGATTAGTAAGTTGACTTTGACTCTTCAAATATTTAATTTTACTTTGAAAAAACAAAACCTACTTTGAAAATGTTAAAAACATGCATTTTTTCTTTTCATATAATAAATACATAGACATTTTCACATGTTTTCATATTTTTCTTTCTTTTCCATGATATTGCATTACTTGATTTGAAGGGGATTGTTGGAGCAAAAATGATTCTAGTAGCAAATAAGGCTTTTCAAATTGCCACGTAAATCAACAAACTTCAATTTAAAAAATTTTATTTGCTACTAGTGTTGGAGATGCTCTTAGGCTCTTCTTCATTAAAATAGTTATTTCAAGAAAATAAACTGAGGGTGTCCCGCTCAGGCAAACAGACTTATGAGATGGTCAAGTGAACTCGACAAGGTGAGTTTTTTTTTTAATAAAATTAGATGTCAGCTAATTACTTGATATTTTACTATAATAATTTATTCTGAACTAATTAAAAAATTTATTCAACATATCCATAGATAAGGGACGCAAAATATTATCAGATTGAAGGCCGACCTTTTCTTCTTGACCATTGTTGGGCAATTACACAACATGGCGAGAAGTGGAAACTTTTTAATGATTTTCAATCTCCTCCACCTCAAACCCCCGACAGGCCTATTGGAAGCTAAAAGGCTAAAGAGCAAAAAGGAAAGGGTATTATTATGCACGATCTCACAGATCAAGACAATGATATGGCTAAAGTCATGATGTCTTTGAAAGAGATTAACCAGAGTACAAAAGATATTAGGGTTACGATTATGATGGTGGACACTTCAACAATCAAAACTCCAGCTAGAAGAGCGTGGTTCAAAGAGAAACCAAATAAGATTATGGCGATTATGGCAAAAGAGGCCTCCCATTCTGTAAACTTCGATGATGACGTCTATCAACCTGAATTGCCATCAGTAAGATTTATGGCGATTATGGCAAAAGAGGCCTCCCATTCTCTAAACTTCGATGATGACGTCTATCAACCTGAATTGCCATCAGATGACTCCAAATAGAAAGGCATGACTCGTTGGAGCAGCATGTCTCTTTTTTCTTTTCCATTACAAGCTTGGGTACACAAGTTAACTTCAGTAGAATGTGGAAAACATTGTGGCCAAGAGGAAAACTTTTATAGCTCCCATCCCATAATGTAAAACTCAAAGATTTTCCAAAAATACATTGATACCAGAAAAATCAGGTCCTCTGGTTTCACAAACACCACACCACACATTCATGTGAATCATAATTAACTCCGTAAATTAGCAATCATGTAAAACATAAGCGAAACAAGGGTGAAAACCCTAATAGAAATCTTAGCTGCTGCTGCATTTAGCCAGATATGCATCCCATCCTTGAAGACGGTATTCGCGGGCTGCCTCAGCAGGGTTTGCAGCCTTTATAATTCCACGCCCCACAATTATGATGTCACTACCTCTATCATAGATTACCTGGAACACAATTTGTCTCAATCACAAGACTAGGACATAAAATCAATAATACTAAAATAGGTGGAGGTCCAAATATAGAGCAGAGATGTCATTTCTTGGCATTACAACAATTTCCTGTCTATAATTTCGGTTTCAATTTTTTTTGTTTGGTTAGAATGACACTAGAGGATCTTGGAAATTAAGCATTTATGGTATCCTTCTCCAATTCCTTTAAGGCCCCCCTTTGAGAAGAGTGATCTTTGTGTATAAGAGTAGAATGATTTCGAACAATACAATTAGTATAAACTTACAGATTTTGGAGTGTTATATTGCTGGCCAAGAGCATCACCACCAGTCACCAGTTGCACTCCAGGGGTTGCCTGGATGAAAGCCGGATTTACTGGTGCCCCTGGCCATGATGCTGGATTAACTGAAATGAAGCCAATCACAAAGTCAGAATGCTCTTCGGCAATCTTCACTGCAGCAGCTGTGTAGTCTCCCTTGGCAAGGTTACCGGCCGAGCTCATTTCAGCAAGCAGCAACAGGCCCCTACCACGTGGCAAACCCTAAGAGAAGTAAAAAAGTACTGAAAAGTTAAAAGATGAATTCATATGATCAAAACTTATGCAGAGCAATCAATTCAAAGTTGCAAACCTTCAATTTCAGTCCATCGACTATCCCAGGACCAGAGATTATGTGAGCATTTACTATGTCAGCCCACTCCAATATATGGAATATACCTCTGCAAACATAAGAACCGCGAACCTAAGGAAAGGGCTATGATACTAACAGAAAGAGAAAGGAGAAGGAAAGCTAAGCCTCACCCTTCATACTGCATTGTTACTGTATTACCAATGTCTGCAAACTTGCGATCTTCAAAAATTAAGAAATTATGTTTCTCTGCAATCTTCAATTGGATAAAAGCACGTATCAGCTATAAGTAGCAGTTACTTTCAATTAACCAAAACATACTTGTAGTCCAACAATTAAATATAGTTCCTGGTCAGCAAAAGCAGACTTCAAATATTCAGTCACTTAGTTCAACTTATGATTATTACATTTATGCTTTACCAATATATGCCGTCTGAAATAAAGCCAGTGAAGAAATATCAATGCTTAGAAAATTGTAGGCTTAATAATTTGTTAGTAATTCATTCAGTTAAATAATGCAAAGGGGAAAAATATTGACATAAATGTTACTACTGAAAGATCAAGCCATGTTCTGAGAAGTGCACTTGATACGCATAGTAGGGGGAAAATACACAATCCTTAGAAATACAAGTAGAAGCATGGTATGATTTGACCCAAAAAAAAAAAAAGGAAAAAAAAATGAATTCCACAATTTATTCAATAAAATAAATCTCATCAAGTCAATTGAAAATCCAAATGCGTGCAAGGTTTGTGTGGGTGAGATGCATAAAATCGATTGCCTCAAGACAATGAAAACAGCAAACTGGAACGTACTGGAAAGATCTCTGGTAATGAAATGCAAATTTCAATTACATCAAAACTCACTGCAACTTTACAATTTACTCCATCTTCACTTTATAAATTGATATGATATGTGCAATATAGATATCGTGGATATGATTGCAGATATTTCAGAGACTATCACCCAGAAGCAAAACTGCATATCATACGAACCTCAGACTCATACACAAACAAATTCTACAACATTCTATGGGGTACATCAAGAAATTAGAAAATTCACATAAACCGATAGTCATTAATCATTATGAAATAGAAAGCACAACTCATAAACTTGTAAGCTACAAAACATGAAAAATAAGTTTAGAACTATACCTTGCGAAGTTTAGAGCCAAAATCTGAGGTGAAATCAGGCAATATATCAACATGGGTTTTCAATAAACATATTTCAGGTCCAACCTGCATAAAAATGAATAGAATCAGTCAAATGTAGAAGATCTTCAATTCTTCTTTGAATACAGTTCCTCTGCCCAAGTAAACTCATATTTACAAGGCATCTATTTCTAAATATTTTTGTCAAAGGTAGCTGCACTACTAGACTTGAATTTCCAAATTTGGCTACAATCACATACATATGATTTTTTTTAATCGACATATACATATGATTTTTTTTAATCGACATATACATATGATTATGTCATTACCAATGCAACTACTTCAGTTGAAGTACAAAAAACAAACCCAGGATTAAACTTCTCTTTTCCTAGGCAAATACATAAAGATTTGCCTCATCCTTAACTAGGCTGTATTTTCTGGCCCACAATAAAAATGGGGTAGGCCACCAGCTTTGTCCAATCCAAACCAGCAGCTTACACATGGTGTAACTTCATACCTCACAGATCCTACTTCAGAGAAACGTGCACGTGTAAACACCACGTGACACCCCAAAAAAGAGCAGTTTAAAACCTCGTTAGGTCAAGAGGTCAACCCTGGTCAACGATCTTGTATACTTATCAACATTTGGCTTTAACTCAATACAGTTAAAATAGGTGTGTGCGCTTTCAAAACTTTCTGGGGAAATCTATAAAAACAAAAGAATCCAAGAAAATCATGCACAGAATAATAACATTTTCAAATTCAGCTTTCAAATCGACTCACCTTCTCAGCAATCTCAAGCAACTCCTTGGCGGTCCCAACATCAGCAGCCAGACTCAAATTGCTCTGCTTCTTCACCATCACCTCAAAAAGCCTCTTCCCAGTCGGATTCTTCGTCAGCTTCGCTCTCTCCTCAAACCCTAAACCCCTAATCTTAACTTTTTCCACATTTTTTGGCAAAGCCGGCGCGGCTACCTTCCGGTTCTCCTCCAAAAACCTCAACACAACGCCCTCCACCTCCTCCGCAACCTTCCCCTTCTCCTTCAAAACCCTAACCATCTCGCTCAACCGAAACAGCGAGTGCAATCGAATCCCGTTCTCCTCCAAATTCTCCCTCCCCCCTTGTTCCCGGTCGATCAAAACGACGGCGTCCTGGACCTTCAACCCGGCTGCGCGTAGAGGCGCGGCGGTCTCCAAAACCGACGCGCCGCTGGTAACCAAGTCCTCAATGATGAGGCAGACCTGGTCGGGCTTGAAGACGCCTTCAATGGCCTTGGCGGTGCCGTAGTCCTTGACCTCCTTGCGGCGCATGAGCATGGGGATGTCATGGGAGGTGCTGATGCAGGTAGCGATGGGGAGGGCTGTGTAGGGGACGCCGCAGATGAGGTCGTGGCGCGTGGAGGAAGGGACGGTGGAGATTAGGGTTTTGGAGATTTGGAGGAGGAGGGACGGGTATGATACGATGAGGCGCAGGTCTATGTAGATGGGGGAGGAGATGCCGGATTTGAGTTTGAAGTTGCCGAATTTGACGGCCGAGATTTCGTGGAGCTTTAGGATGAGGGCCTCGGTGGACGGCGACGATGTCATTTTGTGAAGCGGCGGCGGCAGCTTGTGGAGAGAAGACGAGTGTTAGTGGTGTGAGTGGGCACAGTGAAAGAGATACAGTGGCTTTTATTTTACGTACGGAATAAATAAAGTAAAATGTGTAAAAGAAAATAAAACAAAAAGAAAATTTTAAATAAGAGTGCTGTTATTTCTAGGGAGTTTCACTAAAACACCAAAAATGGGGGCTGAAATTATAAAAAAACTCAACACTCAAAACTCATTTATAAACACACCAAAAAAATATACAATTGTTGATTTTGGGTATTTTTATAAATACATGTCTAGGATTGGGTTTATTTATAAATTTGTATATAATTTAATACAAAAATACTATATATATAAAGTAAAAAACAGAGAATGATAAAATATTTAAAATACTAGAAAATGCCCTTAGTTAGTTCAAATATAAAGAATTGAAACTATTAATTAAATGAGGATAATATGGTAAATTCACATTTTTATATTAAAAAATTAAAATTAAAAACAAAATCAGATAATAAGTCATATTTTTATGGAACATAACTACTTATGTTATCTTTTCTTAATTCTAAAAAAAAAAAATTAAAAAAAAAAATAAAACCAATTGGCACATGTGCTAAGGGGCTAGTACTATATATAACAAATTTGTCATAACTTAATATTATAAAACAAATTTTTTTTTAATAACTAAAAGCTTTTTGTTTTGTTTTACGTTTGGGGGAATATATATACTGTTGCTTAGTTAAATGTTTCTCTTTTTAAAAGTACTTTCAGTTTTTTTTAATTTATAATCATTTAAAATATGTTGTTATAATGAAAAAAAACAACCAAACACGAATGGAATGTCTAAATGAGACTAAAACCAAGGCCCCTTCTATTAAGGGGATAAGGGCTAGAAAGCTAACTCCGCTACAGACACTTTTGTGCTAATATATATATAATATGAAGAATTTTTTTTTTGGGCCCTATGCAGTGACGCCACTTGCACCACCTTATCATGAAGGTTTGAACATAAAACCAATAATATGTAAATTAAGGCCTTTTTCATTGAGCTAATCCTCGTAAACTGGAGCCTTACTTATATAGTACATTTTCTATTAATTATGTTACTTGGCTTGTTGATAGTGGGGTGGCGGCTCATCCTCCAAACTCATTCGTTTAGAGCACTTCCATCGTGTAGGTTGTGCCAGGGTAGAAGGGGGCCCAAGCCCCAATTTCAGCTTCCAGCGGGCTTAAGTTACTCGGACAATAGTTGGGTCCCATGAAATCGGGCCAGCCCAAAGGCAAAACGAGCCTGAACGCAAAACGAGCCCGTGTTCACCTGCTAACAGTAAAAAAATTTGAACTTCCACGCTAACGCCATGCTGGCGTCAGCCCTAATTTTCGCTAATAGCTACAAGCCATGTGGAGCGTTCTGGTTCTCCAATCATTTTTGTCCTCCAATCCAATGGCTGCTTCTTCTTTTTTTGGCTTAAAAAATCGAAAAAAAATGTGAAATTTTTTTATATAAAAATTACCAAAAAATTCTGGAATTTTTGTTCTATAAATACCTACCAATATTCTTCACTTTCTACACCAAATCCTCATACATTTTTGCTTCTTCTTCTATTATTATTCAATTTCTACACAAAAATTTATTTACTTACAATTTTCATTTTTATTCACCATCTTATGGCATCTTCCATCGAAGCCAAAGGGGCGTGGACAATCATGGAAGATGTTCTGTTATGTGAGTGTTGGGTCCAAGTTGGTCATTGTTCGATCACGAGCAATGAGATGAAATTCTCTCATATATGGAGAAGAATTCTTGCCAAATTTTGTGAAAGATCAAGTTCGGCTCGTACGGAAATGACATTGGCTAGTAGGTGGAAAATTTTGAATAAGCCCCAAAACTCCAGCAGCATCACACTTTTGAACGAAGTATGCATTGTAATTGCAAACATCATGCATGACTTTATTGAACAAATATGGTTGCATTCTATATCACCCTCGAAAATCAACATTAGAGTACACAGAATTTGGGATAAAGTAATCTTTCAAAAGATTCTTACCTTGAGAATGCATGTGTCTGAACACGTTCGGGCCACGGTCGACTTGTGAACCACGGTTGCGGCCTTGCCTTGATAGATCTAGCATACCCACTGCCATGGCAACTTGTTCAATAGTTTCTTGCTCCTCCATTTTTTCTTCATCTCTTCTACACATTTTTTCTTTAACTTGCCTCTCCAAGCATCTCCTCATGTCTGACATTGAGAGTGGAGTATGAAATCTAAAATCTAAGAAATGAAAGGATAGAGAAGATGTGGCGTGAGATTATGAGTGTAAGGGTCTTTTTGTTCCAGCAGCCTGACGAATGGGTTTGGGCTGTCGTAAGAAGAAAACGAACAGAAATTCCCCAAGTATCTGAGTTCAGAAACCAAGCTCCTAAAAGAGTTTTTGAAAGGTTTGATGAAACTTTAGAAAAACACCCTCAGGTTCTTTTCACCAATAGCCAAATAAACATGATAGATTGATTAATGGCTTAGCTTGAGTAGCTTGTGGCATGAGAGCTAAGCTTTCACAAGTTTAGCAATTTGAGAGAGAAAAAAACATGAATTTCTTACAGAGAACAAGGGTTTGAAGTGGGCAGAGGAAGATTAGAACAATTTCTACCTTAAGGGAAGAAGAAAACAACTGAAGAAGAAGATTGGGTGGCTTGAGTAAATTTTCAGTTGCTTGACAAAGCTTGGTCAGGCCTTGAATGGGTTGTTTTTCTAGGTAGCAGAAGCCTTCTTTTATAGGCACAAAGAATCCCTAATTTCATCTAACCTTCTTTTCCTTTTTCGTTGCTCCTTCTCATTTGATCCTATTTGATGCAATTTTCCTATCTAATGCGCATGGGTAAGGAGCCCTTTGTGGTTCCAAGGTTTTGACACAGCTAGTCTTCTCCATAAGGGTGAAGCGCCACCTGCTTTCCCTCTAGTTTTTCAAGATGGAGCTTGCAGTGGAAAAGAAGATGGATAAAGGCTTTTGTCCGATGGGTATTCTTCCTACACTCATGGGTTTCCGTTGGTCTCTGTCATAGCTTCCTATTTGACCATCTTGAAGTTCTAACAAGGGTGGAGCACGGTGACAGCTTTTCTACAAGTTGCTGGGCTGGGCTCATGTGCAATATTGGGTTGTCAATACTTTATTTCCAGCACTTAATGGGTTTTCGTCAAGCTGCTGGGAATAGCCTATTTAATTTTGGGCATTTTATTGATTCTGGCTTTGTCTAAGTGCTATGGCAGACTATTAGATATCCTCCTAAGGCATTGGATCATTTTCTCCCTTCTCTCATACTAACCCATGTGTTTGAGCTCAAGAAATGGGCTTGAGTTAAGCAGCCCAAAACTTCCATTTCTTGGCTCATCAATGGGCC